GGATAAGAATTAAAGTCGAAGTGTAGGGTGCTTCGAGGAAAGACGTACGCTTTAGACGCAGACAAACTGGTTCGTGAACGCAACACCACAAGGCTAAAGTAACCGGACCCATTGTTAACTCGTACTCCGCCAATATGCACAGGTGGTGATCATCCACGTGTTCCCCACTTCCCCTACTGTACATGTCTAAATCTTTTCAATTATGAAAGATAGAACACAAACAGTAATTAATGACCTTCCATTCCAACATGCGAACACAATAAGCTCCTCCTGCTTCTATGTTTTCATTAATACGCCCTACTGATTCTTCCGGTGACCGACGACTACAATTTTTGTCTTACTATATATCTAGATTATATTACCACTGCACCTATCTTTTACTACTTTCCTTCTCTCAGCCAATATGACCCTCAACACAACCATGTAATTGTGAGGTTGAAAGTATTTTGCACCATCACTTTAAATTTGCTTTATTCATGTATAAAGCCAGACAAAATGTCTCAGTTCGAACGCTTTCCACCTTCCGAAAGGGCAACTATTTCCTTCGTTGAATTACCTCCTAAAGGAATCTCAAGAGTAAGAATTTTTTGCAGTGGATAATGTTACGTTTATAATATAATCTCATAAACTTTCTCTCACAATTGGTTAACTTGCAATGAGTATTGTCTGTCTAATTGCAGGTTGATCAATTGTAAACTGTTATGTCAGAGTTATGAAAAAAATTGGTAAAATTAGATTGTGAGTCAATCTTTATTGATTGATTGAATAATTAACTCTTTATTACTTTCAATAAGGCCCTTAATAAATAGAGGTGAGTACAATGTTTGTGTTGTGTGGAGCAGGAGCACGATGTAATGTATAAATAGTTACATCAATGCTGAAATGTTTCTTTAATTATTGAATGAATTAAGTTCATATGTGTTTTGTGGATGAGGAGGACGATGTGGATTGCCATTTTCGTGAATGGTTTCCATTCCATCAATTCGTTTCAGCAATTATTGAGCTGAAGTTCATGTTCTCTCTATGGTCTCTTTCAGGTTTTAAGTTTTAACTACAGTACCATTTGATGGGCTTCATTAGTCTGTTTAATAATTTAGAGCTCCATACCTACCTTACCCATCCCAACTTTTGGCCCTTTCATGTACCCTCCCCGCTGCCCCGCCAATCAAACTAAACCCCAACCCCCCTTCTCTCTCTCTCTCTCTTGTCTGGCTAGAAAATACTAGATCGGTACATAATCGGTTAAATCCAACCTGTCATACGCCATTTTCTGACCACTGTTTGGTAGTGGTGGCCAACTGCCGGCAATAGTTGAATAGGTGTGAGTGTTTTTGTTAATTCATAAACTATAATTGTAAGGGATGTTTAGTTAAATTAACAAATGTTAGGGGTTAAAAAATAATCTAAACATTTTCTAAAAATATACCAAATACATTATTAGAATCATATCTTATTTGATTAAATGCTATTGATAATAAAATACTATTATAAAAACATAAACAAATGGAGCTGAGCGCTATCCAAGATTCCCTACACTTTGTATCTTAATTACTATTTAAAGAAGAAAAAACATGGCCAAAGTCATTCTCAACATTATGCATGCAAACCCTAGGTCAAGAAGGTTTGCTCCTTTCATTGACTTCCTGAGTTCAAACCACTTTAGGGTTACCTATCACATTTGTAGCTCACTTGAAATATTGAGTTAAATATTCAATAGATCTTGAGGATTAGTTGAGGTGTGCGCAAACTAGTCGGACATTACTATTATCACAAAAAAGCACCCAACTAATAAATTATTAGAAGAAAGATATACAAAAAAAACTTAATTACTTTTCAAATCTTTGGAACAGGGTGGATCTGGGTCATAATTGTGTATATTTAATTCTAGGGTTTTATTTAAAACCAAAACGAAAATTTATTTCATAGTTTAAATTTGGAAAAAATAAAACTCACTTTATATTGGCATACACCTTCATATTGAAGTTTCGTGAGGATACTTCAATATGAAGTTAAGACATTTGAGAAAGTCGCTTTATCTTTTACCCTAAAATAAAGAGCACCACTAAGAAACTTCATATGTTACATGAGGATTACCGATTCAAAGAATATGAAAATTGGCATTTTAATATCAAGTTATATATATATATTTTCAAATCTTTGGAACATGGTGGATCTGGGTCATAATTGTGTATATTTAATTCCAGGGTTTTATTTAAAACCAAAATGAAAATTTANTGGATTGCCATTTTCGTGAATGGTTTCCATTCCATCAATTCGTTTCAGCAATTATTGAGCTGAAGTTCATGTTCTCTCTATGGTCTCTCTCAGGTTTTAAGTTTTAACTACAGTACCATTTGATGGGCTTCATTAGTTCCCTACCCAACCCAACTTTTGGCCCTTTCATGTACCCTCCCCGCTGCCCCGCCAATCAAACTAAACCCACCCCTCTCTCTCTCTCTCTCTCTCTCTCTCTCTCATTTGGCTAGAAAAAACCAGATCGGTACATGATTGGCTAAATCCAACCTATCATATGTCATTTTCCGACCACCGTTTGATAGTAATGATCAACTACCAGCAATAGTTGGATAGGTGTGAGTATTTTTGTTAATTTATAAACTATAATTATAAGGGATGTTTAGTTAAATTAACAAATGTTGGGGGTTAAAAAATAATCTAAACATTTTCTAAAAATGTACCAAACACATTATCAGAATCATATCTTATTTGATTAAATGCTATTCATGATAAAATACTATTCTAAAAACATAAACAAACGGAGCTAAGAACTATCCAAGATTCCCTCCACTTTGTATCTTAATTACTATTTAAAGAAGAAAAAAACATGGCCAAAGTCATTCTCAACATTATGCATGCAAACCCCAGGTCAAGAAGGTTTGCTCCCTTCATTGACTTCCTGAATTCAAACCACTTTAGGGTTACCTATCACATTTGTAGCTCACTTGAAATATTGAGTTAAGATATTCAATAGATCTTGAGAATTAGTTGAGGTGTGCATAAACTGGTCAGACATTATTATTATCACAAAAAGCACCCAACTAATAAATTATTAGTAGAAAGATATACAAAAAAACTTTCAAATCTTTGGAACAGGGTGGATCTGGGTCATAATTGTGTATATCTAATTCCAGGGTTTTATTTAAAACCAAAACGAAATTTTATTTCAATTTGGGAAAAATAAAACTAACTTTATATTGGCAAACACCTTCATATTGAAGTTTCGTGAGGATACATGTAGAAGTATATATAAGACAAAGGAAGTTAGGCATTGAGAAAGTCGCTTTATCTTTTACCCTAAAATAAAGAGCACCACTAAGAAACTTCATATATTACATGAGGATTACCGATTCAAAGAATATGAAAATTGCCATTTTAATATCAAGTCATTTATATATATATATATATATATTGTTGGCCGCACTTTAGGAAAAACTGGGTCTTCATTTTCACCTCGGCTCCTAATAGGGATAATCAGTGAAACTCTTAAATATATACTTAAGAGGTTTTGAATTCAATTTACTTAAGTAATTCACCTCGACTCCTAATAGGGATAGTCAACAGAACTCTTACTCGAAGCTTATAATATGGATAATCATTAGAGCTTTTACCCAATATTAGTTTTAGGATAATTAGATAAACAACTCTAAAGACCAAATTCATTATTTACTGCATGCCTTTTAAGAACTGAATTAGCATGAAATGCCCACTTCACAAATCTTACCACCTTCAAATAGTAAGTGACCTTCCCAGCGTCGTCATATTAAAAAACCCCAAATCAACCCATTTCTGTATAAATTTATCAGCAGGCGTTTAATAGGGCAGTAGTTAGTTGAACTGCCAAAAACAAATCAGTAAATATAAGCCCATGATGTAGTGATTTTTACCCTTATACATTTATTTACAGATTAATAAAGGAAATATAAAAGAGAAATCCATGAAAGAGTAGTTACATGTCTCCTCTCTTATCATTATTTTGGTATAATTTGATTGGAGCCATTTGGGCCTTTACTGTAAAGTGTAATGGTAGCATGTGATTGAGAGCCAAGAGCCATCAAAGTGGACCCATAAACTGCTGTCATTATATATACGGGAGAACAACATGTTCCCACCCAAGGTTTGTCGAAACGACAGTTTCCCACCTATCAAGTTTTAAAATGATACTTTTCCACCCTTCGTTAGGTTCTGTTATATTTTCCGTTAATATTTTACTAAAAAGACGAAAACATCCTTAAATATTTTCCTTTATAAATTTTTTATTATTTTTTAATTAGCCAAAAAGTCAAATATTAAAAATTCAAAAAAAAAAAAATATTTAACCCCACCTAAAAAGTTATGAATAATGCTATAAAATTGTTTAAAGTTAAATAATCTTAATATTTATTTATAATGTCATCAATATCACATCACTATTATTTATAATATTTTTCATTTTTACTAATTAACATAAAAAATCAATATTTCCAATTAATTAAATAAATAAAGAAAAAAATATATCTTTATATTTGGACTAATAAATAATCGAATAAAGACTTTGAATTAACTAATTTTAATTTATAATAAACTAATTAAGGGTATTTTCATTATTTTAGTCAAATATTAACTGAAAACATTAATAGAACCTAAAAAAGGGTGAAAAAGTGTTATTTTGAAACTTGATGGGTGGGAAAGTGACATTTCATCAAACCTTGGGTGGGAAAATGTCGTTCTCCCTATATATATATTTGATTATTATCCCAATTAAGTAATTGTAAAATCCAACGCCTCCAATCTGGCAATCTTCATAAACAAAAGAAATAAAGAAGAAACCGCGTTTGACCTTGTAAAACCCGTCCGCCATTACCATGAATCATTCCTCCTCGTCCTCCATAAGGGTAGTTGATATCAGACTCTTCTAAAATCTTTACCCAAATCAACAAACAAACACAAACTCAAGACCTTTCTTTTATATTATACATACTTCCATATCCACCTCACCCTTCACAACTACCCCACCATTACCACTTCCATCTGTCATCTCCGCCTTTCATGCCCAAACTTCGATACTCAAAATTAACCTAACAAACTTCACACAACCTTTCTTCGTTCGATTTCTTGATCTGCTGTGTTCTGCTGCTTTTGTTACTGACCCCTTCTTCCAGATTCAAGAGTTTTTTGTTCTGTCCGCTGTGTGGTAATGGCGGACAAAGTGAAACAAATCTTGTCCAGACCTATTCAGTTAGCTGATCAGGTGGTCAAAGCAGCGGATGAAGCCACTTCCAATAAACAAGATTGCGCTGAACTCAAATCCAAGACGGAAAAACTCTCCGCACTGCTTAGACAAGCCGCTCGAGCAAGTTCAGATCTTTACGAACGTCCCACGCGCCGGATCATTGACGACACCGAACAAGTCCTCGAGAAAGCACTGGCTTTAGTCCTCAAGTGCCGCGCCAATGGGTTGATTAAGCGCGTCTTCACCATCATACCGGCTGCTGCGTTTCGTAAAATGTCGTCGCAATTAGAGAACTCAATCGGAGACGTTTCGTGGCTTCTCCGCGTCTCCGCTTCAGGGGATGACCGTGATGACGAGTACTTAGGCCTCCCACCAATCGCTGCTAACGAGCCAATACTTTGTCTGATATGGGAACAAATCGCAATTCTATATACAGGGTCACTTGATAACAAATCCGACGCCGCAGCATCGCTTGTATCACTAGCACGTGATAACGATCGGTACGGGAAGTTGATTATCGAAGAAGGTGGGGTCGGCGCGTTATTGAAATTAGTGAAAGACGGTAAACTAGAAGGTCAAGAAAATGCAGCTAGAGCAATTGGGCTGCTTGGACGTGACCCGGAAAGTGTGGAACACATGATCCACAGTGGAGTATGTTCGGTGTTTGCGAAAATACTGAAAGAAGGACCTATGAAGGTACAATCTGTTGTTGCGTGGGCTGTGTCTGAATTAGCATCACATTATCCGAAATGTCAGGATCTTTTTGCACAACATAATATAATTCGGTTGCTTGTTGGCCACCTGGCTTTTGAGACTGTTCAGGAACATAGTAAGTATGCTATTACCAGTAACAAAGCTATATCTATTCATGCTGTTGTTGTTGCTAGTAGTAAGAATACTAATTCGATTGCGAATGGTAATAATAGTAATAAGTATATGCCTCATGATGATGATGATGATAAGCATCGTCAGATTCCTCATCCAATGGGAAACAAGGCTCCAAGTCAAATGCATACTGTGGTTACAAATACAATGGCAATGAAGGCTGGATCGATGACGGTTGAGAAACTGGGGAATGTTACAAATCAGAGCAACAATGTGAAAAGTAATGGTTTCACCAATAACAATGCAAAGCAAAATCATCAGTTGCAGCATCAGCAGAATCATTCGCTTTCAGGGGTTAGTATAAAGGGAAGAGAACTGGAAGACCCTGCTACTAAGGCCTACATGAAAGCGATGGCAGCAAGAGCACTTTGGCAGCTTGCCAAGGGAAATGCACCCATTTGTCGCAGCATAACTGAATCCAGAGCATTGTTATGTTTTGCGGTTCTTTTGGAGAAAGGATCTGAAGAAGTTCAATACAATTCTGCCATGGCATTGATGGAAATCACATCAGTGGCAGAGCAAGATACCGAATTGAGAAGATCTGCATTCAAACCCAATACGCCTGCCTGCAAAGCTGTTGTTGATCAGCTATTGATTATCATTGAAAAAGCGGATTCTGATCTTCTTATTCCATGCATCAAGGCCATTGGAAATTTGGCTAGGACTTTCAGAGCAACAGAAACAAGGATGATTTCTCCATTGGTTAAACTTCTTGATGAAAGAGAAGCTGAAGTTTCTAGGGAGGCTGCAATTGCGCTTACAAAGTTTGCCTGCAGTGATAATTATCTTCACGATGACCACTCCAAGGCAATTATAACTGCAGGAGGTGCAAAGCACTTGGTTCAGCTAGTGTATTTTGGAGAACAAATTGTTCAGTTATCAGCAGTGGTTCTTTTATGCTACATTGCCATGCATGTACCAGAGAGCGAGGAACTCGCACAAGCTGAAGTGCTCCCCGTGCTAGAATGGGCATCTAAGCAGAGCTGCATGATCCAAGATGAAATAATTGAATCATTGTTACAAGAAGCCCAAAGTAAACTGAAGCTTTTTCAGTCTAGAGGTTCGAGGGGATTCCATTGATTCATCCGCTGTTGCAACCAAATTCTCAATTTGTTGTTCCTGTTTCATTATTCTAATTGAGTGTACATAAAATTAGATGTTATCCTGTAATTGTTTAGAAGTATGTTTAGTCCTTTACAAAGCAGCTTGCTGCTGCTTCTTTTTGTGCTTTTCCCCATTTGTTAATGTTAAGTTTCATGGCTCAACTTAAGCCACCCAGAACCAATTATTAGTTTGGGTATTTGTCGTATCAAATTATTTGTTTCTTTATTTCAAATTGGAATATATATATATATATGTGCTGGCTTTAGCAGTTCTGGGCCTGTTATGTTTCTCAAAATGGTTCTGATTTGGTGGAGCAGTTGAAAATGATAAGCTGAACTGGGATTTTTGTTTTTGCAATTTGCTGAACTGGGATTTTTGTTTTGTAGCTACCGTTCAAGAAACATTCAGCCCCACGACTTAAGACGTTTTCAAACCAACTACTAAATCTGAAACAATATTATTATATATTAGGTTCCGTCAGCTGATTCTCCCAGTACTTGCGTGGGAGATCGTGAAGATGGGTTTCAATTCAACCATTTACCTCTGCAAACTGCATTTGACCATTCTTTAATAAAAGGTCACTGCTATACCCTACAAACGTAACTTCACTTCTGTCAGGATCATATTCATATTCTACACACGCAGTCTAAATTGGATGACATGCCACCAAAAATAATAATAAATAATTAATTAAAGAAGATAGTAATTGTATGGTGATATGATGTTAGGGAGAATAAAATGAGCTTCAAACGGATGGATAGACCAATTCAATCAGCCCGTCAGCGCGTCAACCATAACATTTAAAATAATTATATGAAGATTTGATTAAGATTTAAAATTTAGCTTGAATACAGATTGTTTATGGTAGGTTTGAAGAATATTTTATAAATTGTTAATACTTGTTGCTGTTAAAGTCCCATATTAATGATAGTCTTAGAAGATGCTTATTTGAGCTTATGAAAATTAGCTTATAAACAATAAGTGTTTATAAGCATTTAAAATTTTAAGTAATTATATGTTTGGTTAAAGTACTTATAAATGACTGATAAATAGTTGACGTGTTACCACATTTTATTATAAAATGACTAAAAATAGTACTACATTAAACAAGGGCATACTATAAAATTTTAAAATTAAACAAGGATAATGTGGTAATATACTTGATCAAACTAGCTTATAAGCAAAAAAAAAAAAAAAAAAAAAAAACCTCCCCCTTAACTTATTTTGTTTTTGTCTTATAAGCTCAAAAAAGCTATAAACAAACAGGTCGATCTAATTTTAGAGCTTATAAGTTAATTTGACCAGTTTATAAGCTTAGACAAACAGACACCCCCTTAGTCGCTTATATAGGATAAGGGCACTCTCATCACCCAAATATGTCTTTTTTAAGGTAAAACTGTGTGGACTCTAGAGCTTAAAAGTAAATAATACCTCTAGGAACCCACCTATTATGACATTCCTTTTTCAAGCCTGGAAACTCACCAACCGTATTTCTATATTAACAGTTTACATACTTTTGGTTAATGCATATTTCAGCTTCAACAATACTTTTAATTTTTTTCGAGAATTTATATATAATAGTTAAAACTATGTATATAATTTCCAAAATAACAAAATAATGACACTGTACCATTGACCAAAAGTGTAATCCTTTATACTATGATTAAATTATGCTAAATTCTTCTTAACCATATATGTTCTTTCTTTGGACGACGACGAGGCTTTGAAAATTTGGCATTTATGAGTTGGTTTTGCTATAATGGTACAAATTCAATGTGCAAAGGTCATGTTAATAAATGCAGCTTCATAACCATTATTTCAATTATTAACCAAATACAAAAACTTTCTGGACCTGGGTCCAAGAAACAAACTTGGGTCCGGGTCCAAGTCCAAACCCAATCATATTTTAGGATGACCCAACCGTGTGTGCTAAACATGTACTTTTTTTTTTTTTTTTTAATAATTGGCAATGTTTGAGTCAGTTTGCACGTATCTCAATTAATCTTCGAAGACCCTAAAACTATCGATCGAGTAAAAGCTCTAACGGTCACCCCTATTAGCAACTGTGGAGACTCTAAAACTACTGAACGGGTAAGAGCTCTGATGGTCACCTCTATTAGAGGCCGTGAGGACTCGAACTTGAGAGGTCATATTAGATCTTCCTTTTACCCTTTTAGCATTAAAGAGTGCATTTAGTTGGAGGTAATATTGGATTACTGAGGTAATGTCATATTATATTACTTAATTATCATGTTTGATTGCCAAGTAATATAAGATTCCGGTAATCTTTTAATACCAATAATAGTTACTATTGGTAATATAGGAGATCATTTGATTACCTCCATTTTCTTAGGTATTTTAAGATTACCTGGTAATCTTATTTTTGTTACAATTTTACCTCTTAAAATTTTAGGACAATAATGCCCTTGTTTTAAAAATAATTTACAAAAATACCAATTGACTATTTTATCCTTATATACAAAGTTTTTATGACATAAATACCATTGGAATTTAAAAAAAAAAAAATACCAAAGGGTGGTGGGCGGATCTGGCCACCACCGCTAGCCGCCGACAACCAACACTGGCGACCACTGTCGGCAACGGAATGGCTCACAAGCGGCCTTATCTGGCCTGTCGTGTGCCGCAAAGGCTATTCATGGCAATGGATTTGTGATCCATGGTCGGAAACAACCAGATCTGACCTTTCATGGCTAGATCTGTGGCCATGAAATGGTGGTCATTTCACGGCCAAATCTCCACTGTTGCCACTGCCGGCAGTGGTGGTAGGCCGCCAACAGTGGCTTGGGGTGGGTGGGGATGTTTTGCTAAGTTTTAAATTTTTTTTGTTACCGGGGTTTTTTAACTAAATTTGAGGTGTAAGGGGTTAAAAAAAATTATTTAAAAATTAATAATAAAAATAATATTATATTAATATTATAAAATGAGAGCAATTTAGTAATTTAAACATATCCATCAATTTATTCCCCCCAACCAAACATATTAATATAGCATATCCACCAATTTATTCTAACTAATCAAACACATTTCCTTAAAGATTCTCAATAATTTTCAAAATAATCTAACTTTTTATTAATATAACATTCTCAGTAATCCAACATTTCTTAAATCAAATGCTCCATAAGGAAACTCAAACTTAAAAAACCATATTAGATTTTTTTTTACTCTTTTATCATCAAGCCATCCTGCTGTGTATAAATGTACCTCTTTCTCATACTCCAATTAGCCATGTTAACACCCCATTTAAGAGATTAGTACAAACTATGATTATTGACTAGTCAAAAGTCAAAACCATATGATCTGGAGTTGCATTGTAGGCCTAATCAATGTGTGTGAGTCATTGACGGCATTAAGGAATACAATGGCTTGTTTGGTTGCCAATTGGGAATACTATTTTAGTATTCCTCCAAAAGTTAAATAGTAAAATACCAAATAACTCATAATATTATTCAACTTTTTTTAAACCCCCTAAATTTATTAATTTAATTAAATATCCCTAAATATTTTTTAAAATATTAAAAAAATACCCCAATAATCCACATTTATCAGATTCCAGCCACCACTGTCGAAAAATGGCCGGAATCTGGTAGGATGGCACCCTATCGGCTGAATCTGGTCGGTAGTACGCCGATCTGGCCTTTTTCGGCCAGATCTATGGTGGATCTGGCCGAAAAAGGCCAGATCTAACGCCAAAGATCTGGTTGTTGACGGCCAGATCTTTGGCCGTAACCAGTCGGTAACGACGGCCAACAAACGGTCGTTGTTCACCATCAACGACGACCGTTTGTTGGCTGTCGTTGACGAGCAAATACGGCCAGATCTGGTCGTTAATGACCAGATTTAGCGGTCGATCTGGCCTTTACCGGCCATATCAGTGCAAGACCGACAAGATCCAGCCGGTCATGCACCGATACGGAGACTCCAACCATCCTCCGGTGGTGGTGGCCGGCTGTTCGTATTTGAGGGTGGGTTGGGGGTGTTTTTGTTAACTTTTAATGTTTTATTATAGGGGTGTTTTTGTAAATAAACAAACATATAGGGTATTTTATTAATTTATAAATCCTACATCGTAATACCCGCTCAATTCAACTTTTTTTTAACTTTTTTCAAAAGGCTTTTCCCAAAAACCTAAAATTTTGAATCAAACGCAGCAAATAAAATATGCTGTCAACTTCAACTTAGATGCAGTTAAACTAATGGAAGACGGAAATTTCATTTAAAATATTTGATTCTTAAACTCATAAAATGGTTTGATGATAAAAGATTTACTTGCTATGAGCCCTCTCTATATATCATCTAAGTCTCAAAACATTATAAACTAAGTCATTTATACATCTGATTCTGCAAATCATAATTCAATATCTGTTACTCCCAACTCAAACAAATATGACGACCAAAGAAAGTAATATTTAAGTAATATATTGCATACGGCTATAAAGCAGACCATAATTGTGACCCCAAAATGTAATCCTATAACAACTGCAAAAGCTTAGGCTATTAAGGCCCTATGATTTGAATCAAGTAAAAGCTATGAAGGTCGTATTTGGGCAGTTCAGAATTTCTTCAATTCTATGACTGTCTCACTGTTTCTTCCCTTTCTTACTTACAGTTAAAAAGAGTAAACTAACTTTTTCTCAACCAAATAATGGCTTAATAACATTTTCTCACTCATAAACTTTTAAAATACCACTTTATTATCTAAATTGATATTTTATTTTCAATTTCAGCATTGTTGTAGCTCTACACCACTACCATTATCTTCCCCAATTATCACTCACCAAAACCCCTCAAACCTTACTCGCGCTGACCCCGCCAATTGCTGATTAGGGTTTACGTAGCCATCTCTCTCAAGTCAAATTCCAATCAAGCCCAACCACAAAAAATTCAATCTTCTACCACCAAAAGATTCATTGGTTTTCCCTCTTCAAAAGCCCCAACAGTCTAGACCGAGTTTGCTCTTTGTTTCCCGCTAGAATATAAATTTAGATAGTAAAGTGGTAATTTAAAAGTCTGTGGATGAGAAAATGTCATTAAGCCATTATTTGGGTGGGAAAAAGCCATTAACACCAGTTTAAAATTAGCATATTCAGCACTTTTTGTTTCAAATATTAAAGACAGTTTCTCAAATGTAATAAATCATATGAGTAAATGCAGTGAGGACTGAAAAAAAAACACTGTAGTTAAGGTCACCAATTCAGGTGTCCATATGCCCATTAACATAGCTTTCCAAGTTGTGAACCAAATATCAATAAGATAAATGGCTTAGACCACAAAAGTACTAGATGAAAATGTGAGAGTCATACATTTGGTCATAGACTTATCCTTTCATAAGCCACTGCATTGGGTTTCTAATCTCCTCCACCCAATACAATATCCATATTACTCTCCCTATCAAAAACCACCAAAAAATCTATACCTTTTCTTTTCTTTTCTCTTCTCACTCACTCCTTCATCAACCTACTTACTACCTACCATCTCCATTACATTTTTTTCCTCTCTTTTTCTTTTCTTCTTTCCCATTCAATTATCATGACTACTGCAGTTAGTGCTGCAGTTTCTCTTCCATCTTCCAAGTCTACTTCTCTTCCAACTAGAACCTCTGCTATCTCATCTGAAAGAATCACCTTCAAGAAGGTAAAAATTTATCTGCATGTATATGATTTTAGTTCTTTAGCAGTATGTTTCATTGCTGATTTTTTAGTTGATAACCTGGGGCTGTGTCTTTTTTTTTTTTCAGGTTCCATTCTACTACAGAGATGCTTCTACAGGAGGGAGAGTGGTGTCAGTCAGAGCCCAAGTCACCACCGAGGCTCCTGCTAAGGTTAAGAAAGAATCTAAGAAAGATGAAGAAGGTGTCGTTGTTAACAAGTTCAAACCTAAGAACCCTTACATTGGCAGATGCCTTCTAAACACTAAGATCACTGGTGATGATGCTCCTGGAGAAACCTGGCACATGGTCTTCAGCACTGAAGGTATCTTTTTTCTTAATACACCACTTCAAACTATAAGTTATCATTGTTATATGTGAAAATTTGATCTTGATTGATTAATATAAGAAAAAAGTTATTGATTTTGAGCTGAATGGATGCTTTAGGAGAGGTCCCTTATAGAGAAGGGCAATCCATTGGGGTGATTGCTGATGGTGTTGACAAGAATGGGAAGCCTCACAAGCTGAGATTATACTCAATTGCTAGCAGTGCTCTTGGTGACTTTGGAGACTCCAAAACTGTGAGCTTCAAATCGACAATTCTTATTTTCCGTGACATATAAAATTTCCAATTGCATGCATAAGTTACCAAAATATGCTCTTAAACTAGCACCACAATTGCAAATCCATCTGCTGTGTTGAAATTTTCGTTTATTGGTTTGATCTGATTGCCGTCATGCAGGTTTCTCTCTGTGTGAAACGTCTTGTGTACACCAATGAGAACGGAGAGATTGTTAAAGGAGTCTGCTCGAATTTCTTATGTAAGCATGCGGAGCATTTTGTTCTATGAACTTCTTATATAGCTTTAAAATACAATATGAATCAACCTCTCTCTTCATGGTTTTAACCTGGTGGCTCAAAATGTGTTGTATTAGGTGACTTAAAGCCTGGGGCTGAAGTTCAGATTACTGGACCTGTGGGGAAAGAAATGCTTATGCCAAAGGACCCGAATGCCACAATCATCATGGTACTTAATCCTGCTCTTTCCATACTAATTTTTGGTCATGATTTCACTACATTGTTTTTCACAGAATTTTTTGTATTGCAGCTTGCAACTGGAACTGGAATTGCTCCTTTCCGATCATTTTTGTGGAAAATGTTCTTTGAGAAGCATGAAAACTACAAGGTAAAATAAAACTACTCAACTTCTGTAAAATTTCCTCCGAGGCACTATTATTGCAGGGTAATTTAGCTGTCATAGAAACATCACTCTCTTATGAGTGACTGAGATTTTTATATGCTCTGTAGTTCAATGGTTTGGCATGGCTGTTCTTGGGTGTCCCCACTGGTAGCTCCCTGCTCTATAAGGAGGTGAACCACAATACTTTTCCTCAATTGATCAGATGTTTAATTTGCTCTGTTTTTGAACTTGAATCTGATTGATGTTTACACTCACATTTTATCACGTTGAATGGAACAGGAATTTGAGAAGATGAAGGAGAAGGCCCCCGATAACTTTCGGCTTGACTTTGCTGTGAGCAGAGAGCAAAAGAACGAGAAAGGAGAGAAGATGTACATTCAAACTCGAATGGCTCAATATGCAGAAGAGCTCTGGGAATTACTGAAGAAAGATAACACTTATGTGTATATGTGTGGGTTGAAGGGCATGGAGAAAGGAATTGATGACATAATGGTATCACTGGCTGCTAGAGATGGTAAGAAACACATCATATTACTCAGATTCTTGCTGAAGGATTTCATTTTATAATATCTCTGATGTTTCATTTGCTGTATTTTTCAGGCATTGATTGGATTGAGTACAAAAGGCAATTGAAGAAAGCTGAGCAATGGAATGTGGAAGTCTACTAAATGCTTTAATTACTTGTACAAATCACCCCCTTTTTCCCCTTTTTTTTTTCAAGCTACCATGAATCTCTATAATGATTTCCTCTTCATTGTGTAGATAGTTAATGTCTATTATTTTCTCCATTTTCCCCCTTCTGTTGATGAAGCAGTGTATCTTCCATTATCTCTAAAGAATTTTCATGAGTTGAGGGAACGTCATGTACCATGCAATATATTGCAGCAGAATACAAAATGCTTCTTATGAGTTCTCTTTGTATTTTCTCATAATCATAATGTTAGAGTCCTACAGCGATTAGACATGCTCAAACCCATTGATTTATAAGAAAGGATAATCATTTCATTCAATAAGGCTTTATTGGGTGAGGAGTCAGACTCACCTTAAATTCTATCACATAATAATCTGCCATTGAAGAATCTAAATGCATACTTATACAAACTAATTAATGATACCATGACGTAGCGAGTAGCGTGATAAAACAAGGCTAGCACTCGACTATGCCTTTAGAACTGATAACACAAGTCTCAATCCAGAAACTTAAAGCTTAAAATCGAAAAGTCAAATCTGAATAATTTATTGAATTCTCTCCAAAACGAAAAATAAGTTCATATAGGGTGACAACCAACCCTAATAAGTCTCCTACTAACAACAAGAAACAAAAACTAAATCAATTAAAACAAGAAAATCCGAAAAAAAGAAGAAGGAAAAAACGATCAATTAACTAAAACAGCCTCCAAACATGCCAAAACAGTGGATTTTGACCTCGAAAATGAACTCCAATCTAGCAAAGCGGTTCCCACGTCGACGGGCTCAAAATAAGCTTTCCAACGGTATCTTATAGGCCTCGTAGCTCTTCCTGAATAAAAAATTATGGTCATTTGAATGAGGCATGCTCATTTAAGTCCTTTGGGCTTTCACACGGACTTTTGATATTAAGTCCGCTCCATGTATTCATCCGCTAGATGTTCTACGTCATACCATGTCTAAAATGGGGGTCAAAATAATTTTTCAACTAGCTACAAATGGGGATCAACGTTGTAACGATGAGTTTGCAGCAATAATCTTAAAATAACAAGGAACAAGAAAGGATTTTTAAACTATTATGTTATGTTATTGAGTGTACTGACGAACCGAGTTACAAGGAGTTATCTGAACTATTTTTTTCTCTTGAGTTATCTCTTTTCTTAGTCTCTAGCTCAAATTCTAATTAGGTTTATATAATACTTGTTACAAGATTGAATTGAAAATAAACTCAAAGCAAAATCTTCAGCTTTGATAGTGGAATCCATATCGCAAGATATCTCTAAGCCAAAAGAGAAATTATCCGCTCCAGATTGATCACACAACATTGTCCATCAAACTCTCATTGAAAATAAAACTCAATCAAAAACCAGCGAGATAGTAGTTTGTTCTGCCTTTAACAATCGTTTAGTCTTTGAAGCTGGAATCTGAAGATAGCCAGTTGGGCTAGGTGGATGAACATAACTGTATGGTGGATGAGCACTGGGCCGTCGTCAAGCTCTTCGTCAGCCCAATCATTTACGGATTGAGTAACCATCAAACCCATTAAGTAATGAGTTGGGAGAAAATCTGATGGCTGCACAGAAAAAAAAAAAAAAATCAGAAGTTATAGAAAGTGGAAGTGGGCATAACGCAAAAGCAAAGAAAGGATTGAGGAGGACCCGGTTCCAGATCAAAGGCTGAAAATTAACAATAAAAGAGAGATATTCGGATTAAAGCCAACGCTATGTTGAAAAGCACGAAAATAGGGGTCCACGGTTTCTTATCAAAGTCCGTAAAGCAGTAAATCATAGGACGCGTAAATACCGCGAATGCCAAGGAGTGGTGCGGAGTTGTATATAGAAGAAGGAATCCTCAAAGTTGTTTGTTACTTGTAACTTGTAAGCCTGCATTTTCACTAGGGTTTCTATATTTTTTTTCCCCTTTTATATTAGATCTCGATCATATCAATGGCTCAACTCACCCGATCAACCGGCAAAGTCACCTGGTTCGATAGCATCAGGGGCTATGGTTTCATCAAGCCTGATGATGGGGGTGCAGATCTCTTCGTCCATCACAAATCCATCAAATCCGACGGTTACCGTACTCTCCGCGACAACCAGCCCGTTGAATTCGATGTTCAGCTTGAACCCGACGGCAAGTACCAAGCCCTTGACGTCACTGCTCCGGGTGGGCGAGCAGTTCGCTCTCCTAGGAAAGACAATGGGTACAGCCGCGGCGGACGTGGTGGTGGATTTGGCGGAAACTGGAAAGGTTCCAACGATAACAGGAGAAACAATATGTACGTGTCTGGTGGTGGTGGGGTGGTCTGTTATAACTGCGATGGTGTAGGACACGTGGCGAGGGAGTGTACTAGTAACAAAAGAAACAGTAACTATACTGGCGGTGGTTGCTATAACTGTGGTGATCCCGAGCATTTTGCCAGAGATTGTCCACTTACACTTAATAATGGTGGTGGTGGTGGTGGAAGTGGAAGTGGGTGTTTCAAGTGTGGTGATTATGGGCACTTAGCGAGGGATTGTATAAACAGGGCAAGCAGCGGTGGCAGTGGCCGTTGCTATAACTGTGGAAAGTCAGGGCACTTGGCCAGGGACTGTACTGGGGGAAGCGGTCGCCGCGGAGCTGGTGGTGGTGGTGGTGGTGGTGGTGGTGGTACGTGCTTTAACTGCGGGAATCCAGGGCACTTTGCCAGGGAATGCACAAAGGTTTAATGATAGTTTTTGATTGATTAATTGATGAAGGAAAAAGAAAAAGAGAAATAGTAGTAAATATTGTTTATTATTCTAATCAGTATTTCCCTTTTTCTTAATTAACAGTTGGTTTAATATTTGGGTACTTGTATTAGGTGGAGATTGAGTATATATAGGAAGAGGTGATTGGATCCACCGGTTACGTGAAGAAAAAATCTTCCAGTTTTGATACAAATGGCATCTGGTTCGGATATGTTTTATATTGATAATTTTCTAATTAGGCAGTTGCTATCTTTAATGGTGAATCTGTGTTTTGGTTATATATATTAGTTCATGTGAGATTGGATTGTTCTATTGTTGTTTGCTTCAATCCAGGCAAATGAGTGATATAATTTGGTACCCGAATTCACATAAGTGAATAAAGGTTTCTAACCAGGGTTTTTAGGGTTTAGAGTCGAATTAACTGATACACTAAACAACAGCCAGTATGCAAAAGTATCTGGGTGTGAAGGAATGTGTTGAAGCAGTCTCCAGTTCCACCACCATTGAAGCTTGAGTGATCATTTATTTGGAAATTGTTAACAAATGTTAAGTTCTAGGTAAAGTATTATGATGGATTTTGGTGTATTGATCTTCTTTATAATTAACTCTGGACTTTCACTTTTCCCTTCTAAATGAGGATCCTTCCCATTTCTTCTCCCTTCTTATGCTCCACATTGGTGTTTACAATTTCTTAACTTTCTTTCAAATGCTAGACGACTGAAACCTAACAGTAACTAAGAATTTATTTGAAGCCAGATCAAATGGAACTTCATTACTGCCTTTAGTTTAAACTCTGTTTTTACTTGCCCAGCGCTTAATGCATTGAATTGTGCAGTTTGAGAGGGGGAGATATATTTATCTCCAATCGGGATCATGGATCTTCTATTATATCACCATTCTTTATTGTTAACCATATAATCAAATTCTTGTGTCAATGTTCAGTTTTCTCATCAACTAAGCCTGGATTTTTTTATGTAAAAAGTAGGAGTTAACCTTTTATTTCCAATCATTTATCAGTACCAGCTTTTACTTTGAGCTTTTTTTCTTTTAATTATAAAAAGCAGGCCTTAATTTTGGGCTTTTGGAATGTTGGATTCAAATTGGAAAGCCCTGCAGACGTCTAATCGTAGCTAACAGCTAGCAGCCCAGGTACTGAATCACTACAAGCAGTCATTTCGGGCCACTGAATTTACTTTTTCTTCATTTGGGTGATGAAATTAATTGATCTTAATTTGACCTATTAAATGGGGTAAATGATGATAGGGGGTGGAAGCTGGTGATTCACCAACTATAATAATGGAACTCCTTTTTTTTCATCTAAAAGTCTTGGACAACATAAGCCCAGTCTAAAATTGTATCAATCTTTAATTTATAAGCTGGGGTTGGGATGTTTTCACCAACTTACTCTTAAATGGGTGATCACAATTACATTTGTTAATTACCAACTTACTCTTAAATTATTACCCATTAGTTTACAGCCTACTGATATTTCTTTTCGTTTCTTCAGTTGCTAAAAACTAAATGATGTTTTAAATAGGTGGTAGTTTGGGAAATTCACTAACTGCAATCATCAATTTATCACCCTTTTCTTCCTCCCTTTCTTATTTTCTCTATCCCAAAACCTTCACCAAATTTACAACTAGATAAATTTGTTGTTCAAAAATTGTAAACTTTTTTGATATTGGGAAATAGCCGATTAACAATATTGATTAATTTGTCTCATACGATATTGTTAGTCTTGATTGTTTTAAATTTACTTTTAATTTTGGAAATGGGTGAACGACAACTTCTTACCCAAGTTTGGGTCTAATGATAAGTTGTCACCTAGGGGTGTATACGAGCCGAGTCGAGTATCTGGACATTCGAGCTCGGTAGTTGATGAACAATGTTGAGTTCGAGTTCGAGCTTGAATACTTGGGCTCAAGCTCGAGCTTGGAGTTTATTGTGAGAAGGGGGATGTTTGTCATTTTAAAAACTTGAAAATAAAAAAAGTTACAAAACTTACAATTTGGCCCTCCAAGCGCGATGAGGCTCGCGAGCCTATCGAGTCGAGCTTCACCTTGATCGAACTCGGCTCGACCCCTTAAACGAGCCACTCGAGCTCGAGCTTGATTCGAGCTTTTCGAGTAGCTCGCAAACTGCTCAACTCGTTTCTCATCCCTATTGTCACCCAAAAAGTTTCAAAACGACATTTTCTCACCCATCCATCCAAGTTCTGTTAACTTCAACTGTAGAAGAATAGAATGGTAATTTCAAGAAATAATTAAAGGATAATTATGTCATTTTATCCCCAATATATAAACTAGAAAAACAAAACCCCAATTTTTTTCTTCTGCTCTTTCCTTCTTTCTTTTTCTTTTCTTCTCTTCCTCTCTCAATCGCACCAGGCTGCTTTCTCTCTTCCCCTTCTCTTTTCTTTTCTTGCTTCTTTTTCTCTCTTCCCTTTCTTTTTTCTTCTCTTCTTATCTTTCCTTACTCTGGCAATGCTGCTGCTGGCCAGATCTAGCCGACACCTAAGGCCCTTGTGTTGGCCAAAGGCGTGGCGTAAAAGACACATGCCGGCTTGATTTGCCAGGCCGAGAAGCTTTATTTGCCGGCCAAACTGAGTCAAAGCCGAGTTGATCAAGCGAAGACTTGATTGTTTGATGGCTTTTTTGATATTATTTTTCTTGATTGATGATTGTTGTGTGTTACAGTAATTGTGTTGAGAAAGAATTGAAGTTTGGTGGTGTGTTTGGGTTCAGTTTTGCTCACGAGAAAAGGTAACTAAGCAGCCACGTGTCACCCTACATGCTCCGTTCAATTGATGATGATGATGTGGATCCTTATGGCGGTTTGTTTGATGATGAACAGGAAAAAATTCTTGAAATTAAAGAACATTTTGAAGATCCTGACCAGGTTTCTTTAATTTTTTTTTTCATTTAAAGTTTTTGTTTTTATGAATTTTGTGAAATGAGTTTGATTTTGTTTTTTATTTTCAGTCTGAAGATTCTTTGAATGATCTGCTTCAAAGTTTGGCAGACAAAGATATAACATTCAAAGCTTTAAAGTTAATCTTTTTATTGGAAAATTTTTGATTTTTTTCTTGTTTGTTCAGTGATTGAAGTTCAAAACTTGATGGTAATTTGACTTGTAATTACATGAGATTGATACCGAGAGGTTTGTGAATCAATTGAGAAAGCATTCATCAAATGATGTCAGAAGACTAGTGAAACATCTTGTTAGGTTACCAAAATATTTAAAAGAAAATAAAAAATTAAAAAAATTGAATTTACCGTTTTGTCCTGTAGTTGAAATTAACAGAGACGTTGGATTGACGGGTGGCACTTTGTCGTTTTGAAACTTTTCGGGGGGATGGAACTTGTCATTTGCCCTTTTACTGCAACTATGAAGTTTAAAGTAGAAGTTCAGGATAAATATTTTAGGGTCTGTTTGTTTTAGTATTTTGGATAATATTTTTGATATTTTTTAAGTTGGGTGGGAATAACGAGGTAGGATTTAAAATTAACAAAAACACTCCCTAACCCTAAGTTTGTAAATTTACTAAACACTCTTGTAATAAAAACATTAAAAATTACAAAAACATCCCCACCCATCCATTAAATACCAGCAGCCGGCCACCACTGTTGGAGGGTAGCCGAAGCCATCGTATCGATGCATGACCCGCTGGATTTGGCCGGTCATGCTCCGAAATGGCCTTTTTCGGAGATCGGCGCACTACCGACCAGATCCTGCCGATAGTGTGCCATTATACTAGATTCCGGCCACTTTTCGGTGGTGGTGGCCGGAATCTGGCAAATGTGAGTAGATGGCGATGTTTTTGTCAATTTCTAAACTTTTTTTCAGGGAGTGTTTAGTTAAAATAATAAACTTAAGGAGTTTAAAAATAGTTGAATAAAATATAATAGTATTTTCAGAATAGGGAAACAAACTGGCTTCGTTTGGTTCAAGATTGGGAATACTACTCTTGGTATTCCCAAAAAAGTTAAACAGTAAATTACACAATCTCTCATTTTTGGAATACTATTTTCAATATTATTTAATTTTTTTTAAACCCTCTAAATTTGTTAATTTAATTAAATACCCCTAAATATTTTTTTTAAAATTACAAAAACACCCCAACAATCCACATTTACCAGATTCCGGCCACCACTACCGAAAAATGGCCGAATCTGGTAGGATGGCACACTACCGGCTGAATCTGGTCGGTAGTGCGTCGATCTAGCCTTTTTCGCCAGATCCCCGTGGATCTGGCCCGAAAAGGCCAGATCTAAGGCCAAAGATCTGGCCGTTGATGGCCAGATCTTTGGCCGTAACACTCGTCCACGACGGCCAACAAACGGTCGTCGTTGACCATCAATGATGACCGTTTGTTGGCCGTCGTTGAAGCAAATACGGCATATCTGGCCTTTTCCGGCCAGATCCACCGTGGATCTGGCCGGAAAAGGCCATAGCGACACATGACCGACAAATCCAACTGGTCATGCGCCCATACGGCGACTCCGGCCACCTTCGTGGTGGTCGTCGCCTGGGGGTGTTTGAGGTGGGTTAGGGTATTTTTTGTTAACTTTTAATGTTTTATTATAGGGGGTATTTTGTAAAAAAATAAACATAAAGGGTATTTTATTAATTTATAAATTCTACATCGTCACCGTCCAATTCAACTTTTTTTTAACTTTTTTCAAAAAACTTTTCCCAAACCCCCAAATTTTGAACCAAACGGAGCCACTGGTATTTTGGAAATAGTATGAATAGGAGTAAAAAATATTAAACCAAACAGACCCTTAATTACAATAATATCCCTCACTTAAACTTAAAAATGGGGACTACAGCGAAAATCATAGGGTAAAATTCAATCCCTATCACTTATTGGGTCAATTGAACTCTTAGGATTGGGGTTTGTAGCCCCTGATAAAACCTGCCGTTAACTTTTGGCTTATCAAAGTTATCTACCAAGTAACCCCTAGAGTTCTGAGAGGGCGTTGTCTTTTTTGATATGCTACAAAAACTTTACTCTGTTCATGCAATTTTGTTACTTGTCAAATTGCTTACTTGTGTAGTTGAAATGCCGTTTATATGCCATATCGACTACGACTTAACAACTAGATAGATAAAGTAACTTAAAGAACTACAGTAAGGAGCCTTTTCATTCCTTTCAAGGGACAAGGGATTGTCAGGCCTTTGGTTATTTGTTTTTAGAGTAAATGACATATTCCCACCCAAGGTTTGACGAAATCTCAAGTTAGTACTATAAGTTCTATTTATTCCAGATTCTCACCTATAAAGTAACAATGTTATGAATTTTTAGGGTTTAGAGTGTGTAATTACCATAATGCCCTTAACCCTAAATTAATAAATTATGTTTTAACCCCTAAATTAGTAGAATTATAACTTATCATTTTATTTTCAAATTATATCAAAAACACCCTCGGTCACTACACACCCTCGTCAGAAACAGCCTGATCTAGGCTGTTTCCGACGACGTCAAACCTCCTGGTCACCTCCATCGCCTTCACCCTAGTCCGTCGTCCAAAACCCCTTTGCTTTCGGACTCATTTGCCCCTCTAATCGCCGGCGCCGTTAGGTTTAGGGTTTTGGTGTTCTTCATCGGATTCCGACGGCGAAAATCCAATTGGACACCATCAATGCAACCACCGTCTCCAAATCTATAAAACCCCTATGTCCCCAACAACCGTTTCGTAGTCATTCGTCGGTCGAGAGTTCGTGTTCATCGGCTGTTTTTCGATGAAGTGGTGGACGGCAAACGGTGAGCTGCCGTGGCTGGAAAGGTTAGGGGTTTTGTAGGGAAGGATGCGAGGAGTCAAATGGTGATGACAAATGTGATTTTGGGTGGAAGAATCGCCGGAAAAAGAGCAAAAAAATCGAGAACGTCGGCTGATAATGTGCGTCGGAGGACTGTTACAGGCGATGGTCTGCTAACGTGCATCGCCGATGTAAAATGACCAATTTATCTCTTTACCGTTACATCAAACGTTTTTTCGTCACTTTAAGGGTGGGAATCTGGAATAAATGGAACCTATGGTACTAACTTGAGATTTTATCAAACCTTGGGTGGGAATATGTCGTTTACTCTTTGTTTTTACCATATTCATTCTCAATTAGCACCAGAGGGCAGTGGCAACTGGCAACTGGCATCCCACTCCAAGCCAATACGATGCCCTATAACTCAAATATTAAATAAAAGAAGCTGCAACCTGCTGGAATATTGAAGCCAAAGATATCGAACTAAAGCAATAAGACATATTCTCTGTTACAAAGGCTTGACTTTTTTCTTCTCTACCTTATGTCATCAATGTCCCAGCACTTGTCCCTATCTAGTTTCTAATAATCATCCATATGTGAATCTGGAGCCGTCCCTTGGGGGATTTAAATTCAGAGCATACTGAATCCCAATGCGTCATATCCTTTTGCAGGACACCGAAAGCCTATTTTAATGTTACCTTAAATTATTCATAGTATATAGTTTTTATAGTCTGCCATTGTTGCGACTTGCGGGATTATCTTTCCCTTCTCCTAAGAAACTTATAGAAGAGTAAAAACCCATACGAAGGTTCATGCTTATTAATAAAGGTAGTTATTGATTCTAACTCTTCACTTGTTAGTCAAGCATTCAGTTAAACTGAGCTTAGTTTTGTATTATAATAGAATTTGAGGTAGACCTGACTTTTCACCCAATAAATCTTATTGAATGTGAGAATTACCCCTTCTTATGAATTAGTAGATTTGAGTGTGTCTAATCGAGTGTGACACTCTAACAACAGTAGCCGACCTAAACGGGGCGGTCTTTGTCTCCGTGACTGTGTTTGCATGTGGCCAACATGGGCGGTGGGTCCAAATCGGCAAATCCTATAAAGTAATGGCCCACCCCACCATACTTGTCATACGTTTCCGCGCAGGCGCACATGATCCTCACTTCTCCACTCTTTAAATACTAATGTTTCAAATTACAAGAATCTAGCTCTCTGCCTCTCTCCAAAACTTAATCGACATTAACAAAAACAGAGAGCAACAAGAATCCAACTCCTTCCTCATCTGCTAATACTCAAATGGCACGCATACAGTTTTCGATCATCTTATTTGCTCTATATCTTCTCCAGCTACTTTCAGGTACCACTAGAAGGATCATTAATTTTATTCGTTATATAGTGTTGCTGGTTATTGAGTAATTTTAATTGATGTACAGGAACATTGTCAGCGACGTTTACAATAACAAACAAGTGCAGCTACACGGTCTGGCCAGGGATACTTTCTGGAGCTGGAACTGCACAACTTTCCACCACAGGCTTTTCTCTGGAATCAGGCCAGTCAACTTCAATCTCGGTGCCTACTTCTTGGTCAGGACGTTTATGGGGTCGCACTTTCTGCACCCAAGACTCCACGACTAACAAATTCACTTGCCTAACCGGTGACTGTGGCTCTGGCACTCCAGAATGCTCTGGAAGTGGAGCAGCCCCTCCTGCCACCCTGGCTGAATTCACTCTAAACGGTGCAGGCGGGCTCGATTTTTACGATGTTAGTCTTGTTGACGGCTATAACCTTCCCATGCTGGTTACACCCCAAGGTGGAAGTGGAGGGAACTGTACTATTACTGGATGTGTTGCGGACTTGAACAATGGATGTCCGACGGAGCTTAAGGTTACTGAAACGGCGAATGGCGAGGACGTGGCCTGTAAAAGCGCATGTGAAGCATTTGGTGATCCTCAATATTGCTGTAGTGGAGCATATGCAACACCAGATACATGCAAGCCAAGTTCTTACTCCATGTTTTTCAAAACTGCGTGTCCTAAAGCTTACAGCTACGCCTACGATGATGGAACAAGTACCTTCACTTGTGCCGCCGCCGGTTATGCTATCACTTTCTGTCCTAGTCCAAGCACAAGGTAATTCATTTTCCAATCTAAATCCGCACGATTTTTGTTTACAGATTATAGTTTAGGATGTTACAAATCAATTTTTTTTGAAATTTTAATTTCACTAAGTAAACAAAACGTGGCAAAATACAACTGTGAGGATGTTACAGATTGGTGGTAAGAGTTGACAAACTGTAGCCAACCAAGATTTTTTTCTTATTGGGTCGGTTGGGGTTGGGGGTTTTATAAATGGGGCACATGTTCTAGTCCTTCGTTCTATAATATTGCTTCCCACGTTTCATTTTTAAAAAAGTATTTTTCATGATGTGTTTAAATAAAACATTTATAAAATCAAGCACTGTCCTTACTAATGTCTCCGGGTGATTTTGACTTGTGGGTGCAGTGTCAAGTCCGCCAATGGCCAATTCCCGGCGGCTGCTAATGTATCAGCCGGCTCTCGACATGCAACGCCTACTTCCATCGGTGCTACCATCGTAATTTCAGCTGCAATTTGGAAGTTGTGGCAACTCATGTAACTTGCCAACCTATTTACTCCAAATCACTATTGGATAACCCGACGATCAATTAGGATTTTTAGATATATTACTTAAAATGTCTTGAGTTCAGTTCATTCAGATTACTATTAAGGAGATTTACCTAACTGTTACCTTCAAGATTTCAGGGGACTAGTTGGTTCAAACACCCTTGTCAACCAAAATAAATAAAATAGCTTCTCTGCAACTAATACTAGTAGTGTAATTGAGACACTTCCCTTTTTGACTTTTTTGGGCTTGGGATTTTTGCTCATTTAGCCTTAGGCTAACGTCTTAGGTCCACTGAGTGGGTCCTGCAGGGTTTCGAGATGCTGCAAGCAGCTTGCCTCAAAACTTGGACGGCAAAAATAAGGCCCAACTTGTCAACTTGCTTGGACACTAGCCTGCAACACCATTCTGGGAATTCTTTAATCGAATTTCAGGTGAGAGATGTAGGAAGATACAAATACATACATCAGCAGTCACGTTGCTTGATTTGAAGACACAAACTATGACGCGGCGCTGGCGTATTGAAGTTTGTTTTTTTAAATATTTGATTTTCTTATTTCAAATTCCCAATACTAGAGAAGTAGTGGTGGAGGTAATTATTAATTATGTGTAAGGTTTAGCAACCGTCCGCCTAGTATTTGCCAATCGAGAAGAGATGATGAGTTCATGTATATATTCTTTTCTCTTGTATATATTCCTAGTGGCATTTTGCTTGGTGACAGTCGCAAAGTTTCTTTATTATTTACATATGGTAGATGCCCTATCTTTCTCGTACGAGTTTTTTTATATAATTCTTTAATGGAACGAAGTGAATTGAGTATTAGTATCTTCATTTTGTGGCCGTCCTTTTACAGTTTACCCTGTCCAGAACAAATTAATGAACAATCCTTTAGCAATTATAATATTGTCATAATCATCACTGGATGACCGGGTAGTCAATTAAGACTCTTGAATGTATTACTCAAGAGATTATGAATTTGATTTATCTCAATCTCTAATAAGGGTGATCATTGGAGCTCTTACTCGACTGGTAGTTTCAGGGTATCAAAGGAGGCTACTAATAGGGATGACCACTGAAACTCTTACTCAACCGATAGTTTCAGGTTCCGATGTGCGATAACTATCGCCATGTCTAAAGCCATATTCTATTCTCTCTAATGCTTGTAATGTAAAGTTTTAATATTATTGTGTACCTGAAACTGCGAATCGTTGTTTAACAAAGTATAGATAATCCATTTCTTTTTATCAGATGCATGAGCTTTATTCCGTAACAAATGGAGCCACTTATTACGGTTATTAAGATCACAGAAGAGTTGATTACTGCTGGGTATTCCCTCAAATACTAATCATGTTTAAGCAAGTCCTGAAGCAAAAACTTTATTCCGATTTCAACAACTGCTTGATTGTCAATTTTAAAACAATATATAAAAAGGCTAATATTCCCTTTTATGCGGTAATCTAAAGGTCAAAAAGCAATTCAAGCACCCATTATAATGCAACGTCAAAGAACCACTCAGCTTTACTTGCTCCACCACCTTTCCTTTTGGCCTCTTCGCTGCATCTCCTTCCTCTAACACAGTTCTAAAATTTTCATGGCCTGCAAGTATGTTATCTTATACTATACTTTTATGATCATATTATCCAGGATGACATATTATTCAATAAGAAATGTTAGGATGCTACTTGCACAACTCTTTAAAAAATTTCTAAAAATAAGTGAAATGTCAAGTTGCAATAAAAAAAAACTGTTTTCTAATAAATATAACTTAAAAAAATATTTATAAATTGTGATTACATTAAAAAAACATATCCTTATGTTTGGAGTCAGTATCAACCAGAAACGTCTACAAATATTTCTCATATAAATTTCTAAGAGGTTACATCAAACAATGGCATGCTGTCAGCATTACTATGTATATTAATTCTTCATAAATTTCGTGATTCAATCTGACGGGGGAGAACTGCTAGAACTCGGCTGTGCTGAATCTGAAAAGCAAACACGTCATAAATAAATATACAATAAAGACATGCAGTACACAATGATTTACTCTGGTTCGTTCCAATTAAACAACTATATCTAACATTTAAATTGAAATTTTTTATTGAGTATCAGAATTTGACGCAATTACAATGACAACTCACTCTCTCACTCTCTATTTCACATTAGGTTTTTTATTATTACAAAATACTCGTAATAGAAAACCCTAAAGCAGACAATCCGAATGAGTCGTCGTAGGCAAACAATTTGTACGTTAAGGCTAAAAGAAGTATACACCATATCCAATAGGCTGAACACATATCTCAGATTCTGGAAGGATTGGCGTATATCATAGTGCCTATCATGGTCAATCAGATAGTGCTAAATTCATGTATCTGTTCTCAGACGTTTAACTTCAAATACAAAGATTCTTTACTTGTGTTCATAGATCTCCCGTTTCAAGTGATCAGCTATCTGTTCCTATCATTTCCATTTTCAATAATACATTCATGGTGAAATATTAGAGCACACAACAAAATCAACAAGTTCACATCTCCGTCCGGACAAATTAAAAACTATAATAATAATAATAAAGAAAAGAAGCAAATTCACATCAAGCATTGCGGATAAGATGACTCAGAGGTGGGTCAGGACCAACTATGAAAGTGGCATTAACATGTGAACAATTGTGCAGAAACACGCTTTTTCTGGTTTTGTGAATTCTGATCATATGCAGTAAAATTTCCAGAGAAAGTTTGAACAGGACATTTTACATTTTGGTTTGACAAATGACAATTCACGTGAAACTGTACACAAACATTGCTATGCAGATATAGTTTTTATTGCAATAAGTTCCTGAAAACAAAAAACCAGATTATAATTTATAGCTATATTAAAACTGAAAGCCTGGTTCATTCTTTAAGACGCTCAATCTTTCCTGCAATAGATTCCTTTACTTCTCATATGTACATAAATCTGTCAACTTCATACACGTATTCAGTTGTCTTATCCTGAAGAACTCGTTGTATGAAAAGAGTTAACTTGTCAAATACTATTAATTTTTGTCAAAAAAAATCATCACTTTTTATCGCGAGCGTTGATTAAGGTGGCTATAAACAGATAAGATAATTAGACTAATAAAAAATTTCTGAAAGCAAATTATATCCTGATGGGCTGCTACCAAAAGCAGCCATTACTATTGGTGGTCTTTAAAGCTGAAGTTTTCTCAGAGAAATTCTGTCAATTAGTCTACGAGAAGTCCACAAATGCGCCAAATTTTCATGGCTTTATAGCACAAAAGCTATAATCTCACTGGTATTCTGAAACTGAAGTATGAATCAAATCTCACTTTTCCCAGCTAATTGGTGCACCCATTAAACTTTATTGATTTTTGTTTTTTGTCAAGCCCACATGCTAAAATCTTCAAGAAAGTTTTAGGCAAGTGACTTCCATGTCATGGATGGCAAAGTGTCTATACATTCTCATTAAAAAATTAGAAAATTGCAGAACCTTCAAGAACATATGAACCAGGTCTTTGCATATGTTTACTTCCAATTCTGTACAAACTAAATCAGAACGGTAGCAGTTTTCTAAGAATTTCAGGGTATTCTTATGCTGAAACTACTTGCTAAAATTAAATGACTTTGTTATGCCTGAAAAAGTTGGGCTGACGCAAAGCCCTGTCAGCGTAAGCGGTCAGAGCTTAGGTAAGTCCAGCAGCCATTCAGACGTTGCCACGTCGCACGCTGATGCAAGTGACATGCTCATGCCAGTGTAGTGGGTGTGTGCCAGGCTGGTGGAAGGCTGGAAGCAATCCACGTGTCCAATCCCTACAAATGTCGAGTAAATCACTCGAGCAGGTAAACAACGGGACGCAAGGAAGGATTTGCACTGCAATCTGACCCACTCCTTGATTTAGTAATCATTACCTTAATTCATCCTACTATAAATAGAGGGATCCTCTACCGCTTATGAGATTAGCTAATTTCTGTCTAGAATAGTATATATATACTCTCTTTCTCTCTCTTGTAAGTCAGCTCGCTGAACGCGACCTGATCTCATATATTAATACTATACTAGTGGACGTAGGATTCACTTACTTAAGCATCTGAACCACTTTAAAAACTATTCTTCGTCTTTTATTCAGTCCAATGCCCCCATACACATGTGTCTTTTGAGTCAGCTAAGCATTTCCTACGTGCGTTTAGTTAGTGTCAAAATCATGCATCAACAGACTTAATCCCTTCAAATGAAATTCGTATGGACCATATATACATGATTCCATTTTGTTAGAATCTAAATTGCATAAGCTGTTTTGTCTCTTTGCTTCAAAATTCACAGAAATGGAGAATATTTTGAAAATTCTTAAGACAAAATTGAGAGGATAATATATATTTAAGAATTAAAGAAAGCAAATTAAGAAAAAGGCAGTTTGAAAGCAACCATATCTTGATAAGGCAAATTGAAACTAAAGCCATTTAGTACAACTTTGCCTCTTCCAATCAATATTTGCTTCCACCTTAGATATACGTCCTTTGACCTCCTTTATAAATCACCCTAATGCACCTTCTC